GTGCAAATTCACAGATATGTTTTTATGAATATACATATTTTAAGAAATATGTAGAACTCTAGATAGGATGTCATCGTGCTGGGTGTAAATATGATGAAACTTTCACGTGAAAATTTGCATGTTATGCGCATACTATTGCACATTTATTTTCAACTTTAATTCCACGAATAAAAATTTACAGTTTAATTCTCACAGCTTGAAGTACATAGGAAACATGTGTATCATTGTATAATGTAAACAAAAAAGTAGTTACATACCAGCAGTATAAATCGAAATATTCAATTAGAGAAGAACAAGCCTCCGCTGAGTGCTTTTTCATCGATACAACAGAGAACATCTTTGTCCGCCTAATGCAACGCGTAATTGGTTCTATCGATGATCCGCGAAGCGTGGATTAACTTAAAATTCGATCGTACACTCTGACAAAGATCCTCTCTGTAGCTTCTGATTTTCTAGAAAACTTCGAATTACCTAGTATTTGCCATCTTTTACTTCCACCCTAACTTCTAACACTTCGTAGACACATTTCTAACCTTGAACACATGTTCAAAACTGAAAACTCCTCTGAAGTTTCCAGAGTATAGATCACCTCGATTTTCGTGATTTTCTACAACTTTCAATTTTTTTATTAAACCCCGAATCATCATGGTATCTGCTATCTTTCACTTTCTCTTATATTTCTAACATTTTTAAACATGGAACACGTGTCGTGAAGCTTCTGAAACTTCCGAAGCCTCGATCTTTTACAATTTTCAATTTTCTAGGAAACCTCGAATCCCTTGGTATATTTATTTCACCTTATTCCCTGACACTTTGCAAATGTTTCTAGCCACGGAACATATGTCAGAAAGCTGCTGGTGAAGTTTCCGCAGCATAGATCGCCTCGATTTTCATGATTTTTTCTCACAACTTTCAATTTCCCAGAATCGTCCTGATATTTCCTATCCGCCGTATTTTTAATACTTCGTAGATACTCCTAATCTTGAATTGAATACATGTGGGAAAGCTCGTGAAATATAGATGGCCTCGATTTTCACGATTTTCTGCGTCTTTCAATTTACCAGAAAACCTCGAATCACATCTGGCATTTCCTTCGCACTCCCACTCGGTTTCGCAAACAATCCGAGCCGCGTCATAATGCGGTGAGAACGTCTAATAACGAGCACTTCTCTGCCTCTGATCCGCAGCAACGGCCAGCTCGCGTCTCGATATAACCACGACTGACGTCAGGAAGCCGCTGCAACAGCAACAGCATCAGCTGAAATCGTCGCCGACCGACATGTCGACTCTGGTCTGTTGCGAGCCGGTCTCGGCCACGCGTTCACGGGACAACCTGAAGCTGGTGCTGAACCGAAGCCTAAGCGAGCCAGGACCGCCAGCCAGCGCGTCCACGTTCTTGCCGTCGTCGCCGGCGTCCACGGTGTCGCCCAGCTCGTCGACAAGCAGCGGCGTCGACAGCTGCGCGGCCAGCGACGGCACCGAGTGCAACTTGAACGCCAGCGGGACCAGCATCAGCGGCTGCAGCAGCTCGAGCAGCGGAGCCGACTGCGATCCCCCGTTGTCCGACGTTCACCGCCACTACCACCATCTTCATCATCATCACCACTTCCATCAGCACCAGCTGTCCACGTCGAAACGTTGCAAGCTGGAGACGGTCAGCCTTCCGGCGAGTCCATGCTCGGAGAGCAACACGCTGCAGAGACAGCTGGTGCTTCAGAGGACTAGAACGATAACGGCTGACGAGCTGGCGGACCGTCTTCTCGGGGCGCGGGAGCAACAGCCATCTCCTGGTGGTCCCGTGTTGCTCGATTGTCGACCGTTCATCCTGTACAACGTGAACCACGTGCGCGGAGCCATCAACGTGAACTGTTCGGACCGATTCAACCGGAGACGGTTGCAACTGGGCAAGGCGAGCCTGGCCGATTTGGCCAACACCAGGGAGGGCAAGGAACTGTTGCGCAGAAGGCACTATCGAGAAGTAGTCGTCTACGACGATTGCACCGACGACGTGGACCGGCTACCCGTTCAGCATCCCCTGTTCCTTGTACTCGTCGCACTCCTCGAAGATAACAGGGAACCGGCGCTCCTTTTGGGTGAGTTGTCTTGTCCTTTTTCTTTGCTTATTTGCTTCATTGCATCTTTGCCGAATTCTTTAGGCCAGTCAAAAATGTTGTTAATGTCTTAAATATTGTCAGAAGTGATCTAGCTTTGAACGTTTCGCAACTGCAGTTGGATAGTTTTAGTACTGCCGCGTAAAAGTCCGCGGTATATTTATTTTAATCGTGCTGTTTGATAATAATTTACGATTATTTTTCATTTCGTCGAAAAACAGGATGAATTCAATGAATGAACGATCAAACACACATCCAGAATATATATTTCCTTTAGATTTTTTTTTCGAATCGATTTGATGAAAGGATCTTTTCTCATTTCAACGAAGAAATGGATAAATTCCGTACATAAACGATTAATTGCAGATCGTTGACGAAATATACAAAAAACTGTTCGTTACATATTTGTTATTTAACAGAAGAATCTTTCTCGTTTCATCGAGATAGTCATGAAGTGTTGATCACCGATTTTGATGAAATTCGGCATAAATGTACTTTCCAAAGAAATACTTGAACCTTATTTTTCTTTGTATCGGCAATCTTCGATGTTCAAGGGGTGAAAACTAGCCTCAAAGTTTTCGTCAAATATCTCGGGGAATCAGTGAGGATACCGTTTTTTGCGCAAATCGACGAAAATTAATGTTTCCTGGCGACGAATTCGACGTTGCGAAAAGTTCCATTTGTTTACAAACAGTATATTAAAAAAAGAAAAAAAAAAAAATCTAGAAAATGAATTTTTCTAATGCAGGTGAAACTTTTCGTTTCGAAAGCATTTAGCTTCGATTCGCTAGTTATCTCGACAGGTTTTGTAACATTGGAAAAATAATGCGTGCGACAGTCGCCGCCGTTATATTTGTTGTTTATATAAGACCACGTGGGAGCGGCTGAGAGTTTCTGAAATAACGATGATGCGACCGCCGCATGCGAAAGTCGCTTCTGCGCGTCTTCGTCCTTTCGCGCGGAACTCACGAAGAAACGGCGAAATCATCGCGCCACTTTATCTGCGTTAACCGCGTTCACCAAAAATTTACGACTTTCGTTTGCCCACACCGAGATTACGTGCCCCCCTTGCTTGCGTGTCGTTCGTATTTTATAAATTATCGCCATTGTTACGTAAAAATTCCTCCACTCTTCGAGCGGTTACCTCTGTGTGTTTGCATCTGTATAAATTTCTTTCCCCCACGGAGGAGGAGGAGGAGGAGAAGGAGGAGGATAAAACAGCTTCAAGATAATCTCGGTGAGATAGATAAGATAAAATGAAGCACTCGGCTTAACCGATTGAGGGGCGAACGATAATATGCCGTGACGAGTTGCGAACAAAAAAAAAATCGTAGAATTCTTTTGTTTATGAAAAACGATGGAAAACGATTTAACTGCCATTAAAAACCAAGAGATAGTTTATCACGACGTTGTGGATACTTTCAAAAATTTCATAAAACCTTGGATCCCAAACGGATTCTCTTATATTGCTCGAGATATGGTAAAATAAACTGTACCGATTAATATCGAAAATATTGCGAATATTAAGTAAACACGTTTCTTTTCATACTCTCGTTTATTTACACGAACGAATTAACAATGAACGAATAAAACGAATTGGAACGTGAAACTTCTTTCCGTCAGCGGCGACAGTTGAAAAAATAGAATTCGACAGTTTGAAATTGAAGGACTGTGGATGATTGCAACGTTCGGTCAAAGAGTGAGAGAGAATTTCAAACTTTCCTTTTTCCCGGCAGTAAGATAAATGAAAGAAAAGATAGACGAAGGCTGGATTCTCTCTCACAGTTGATCTCGTTAGAAACGAGCCAGCTGCGAATCAAGCGAGAAACTGAATGAACAATGTTGAGGAAACGTGGGTGGGAAGATTGCGTATCGATGGGTGCTCTCCTCTGTGTCGAGTAACAGTACTCCGTACTCCACTAAACGCATTTTCTCGCCTCGTTCCGTCCAGATACTTGCCGATACGTGCTCGTTTTACGAAATGTGGCTACCGGTGTGTACATGCGTGTCAACCGAGCCACGATCCATCGAGCATTCCGCTTTGATTCTGTCGTTGAACCTCCTTTCTCGGTCCGGTGCCCTCCGTCTTTCGTTTGTTTTTTTTTTTAATTTAATTTAAGTTACTCTTTCAAGCAGTGTTGCCTGAAGCTATATTTATCATTCAAAGGGCATTCTCTTTCATTTATAAAAATATTTCTGAGGAAGAATAGTTTAAAACAATTCTTTGAGACAGCAGTTATCATCAAATCGTGAATTTTTGTCAAATTTTGTTTCACAAAATATGAAATCGCACGGAGTAATATGGAAAATATACAAAGTACAATTTTTTATCTTAGTGGTTCTATCTTTTTTTCAACGGTTTTAAACGTCGTGAATTTACAAAAAAAAAAAAAAAAAAAGAAAAAGAAAAAAATTATTGAGATTCTTAAGAGACAATTTCTTACTACGACGGTCTAATGTTTGATTAATAATCCTTAAAAGTGAAAATTCTACTTGAGAAATTCTCGTCTGCAATTTGCGCAACATATAAAAGAATTGCTTTTTTCTTTTGAATCATATTCCCAAAATATTTAAGAACTATTATTAACCACTTGGACACTTGTCTGTACTCGTAGAAACGCGTCTTCTCTCAATAATCTCGTATGATAGAAAACGTCACACACGTCACGCTCGGACAGAAGAGCTCCGTCTCAATGGTTAATAACAATCGTTTTATTATTCAAATCTGCCGTTTTGCTTCATCAATTCCCCCGTTGCCAAAGGTATTGAATCTCTCTGAATCGACTAAATTGAATCGATCGAGAACGATCGGCGGTATCTCGATCGGAGCGGCGAGCAGAGATTGGACGATCGTCGCGAAGAATTGGTCAATCATCCGAGATTGATAACTCGCTCGTACTTTTCCATCTCTTGTGTGTTTGCATCGCGAGTCTATCCGTCACGATAAGAAGCGGCGGCACGCGGCTAGAACGACGTAGAATCGCGGCGAGCATGATCGAGAGCGCGCGCGCGTCACCAGCGAGCTCGGTAAATACGATATTTCAACGGAATTGCATCGGGATGGGGATCGTGCGTCAGTGGCTGGCGTCATGAATTGAAGCTTCCAGCTCGCGGCGAATTTTCCGCTGTTAGTTTCATTTCTATTCGCGTGCACCGCTGGCTGCTGCTGCGTCAAGCCGGAACATTTTCTATAAACGTCAGCCGCACATGCGCTTTCGCCGCTTTCGATTACGCGCAATACTCGCACACGCACGGTAAAAGTGGAATTTCCTGTAAGCGTATTCCCGATTTCCTATGCGTCACAGATGTTCGACGAATTTTTCACGCGTGACGTTTTCTATGACTTTTCAAGCGCGACAGACAATATTCGAGTATATTTACTTGCTTAGATACCTCCATCGATCTGTTGAAAAAGGCTAGCCGAAAGGGCAAAAAAATTAATTTTAATTAGTTAAATGTCAAAATAGATTGGATTGGTCATTTTATTGATTAAAGATTAAATTTTTGTGTTTATCTTTTTCCACCTAATTCGAATGTACAACAATTAAGTTTCGATTGTATATCTAATCTTAAATTTCATTAAAATTAAACGTATTTGTAACTCTTGGCGACATTTTTTTTTTCTTTTTTTAATGATACTTTTCCCCTTTAGATAGTGTCAGGAATCAACCTGTTAATTAAACTTCTCAACACTTGAAAACCGCGTACATGGGAAACGAAAAGCATACTTTTCCATCGTATCGCAACGAATGATTGTAAAGAGAAATTTTCAAACGCATGTGAATCGATCGTTCAATGGATTGAAGAGAATTCAGGGAAGGGAAAGGTGGAATTTTTGAATGCATGACGAATTCATTCAGCTTCGAGGAAAAGTGAATGAAGTTTCTTCAATGAAATGTTGTTTTCTTTAAATTGATGTACGTGAAACTGGTGGCAATTGGTGGAACGTTCCACGAAGTAAATTGTTAGAACAGGAGAGAGTCAAAAATACACTAACGCGGAACTAAAACCGACGATAAAAATTCGCGAGCAGAACAGATTTTTTTTTTTTTTTTTTT